GGCGGGGTGCGGGGCAGCGGGGGTCGGGGGTGCGGGGCAGCGGGGGTTGTAGGGAGTAGTCGGGGACGCGGTCGAGGTCGCGGAGTTTGTTGCAGATGGTGGAGAAGTCGGGACACGAGAGGTATTCTTGGGTGTAGCGATGGCAGGAGCTGGATGTGGGTCATGGCGGCATAGACTTTCGCAGGGGGTTTGTGATCGGGGCGGCGGGAGAGGGCATCGGCAACGTGGTTGCTTTTGCCAGGGGTGTGACAAATGGTAAAGGTAAATTGGGCAAGGAAGTCTTGCCAGCGGGCTTGGCGCGAGGTGATGTCTTTCTTGGTCAAGATGGAGGAGACGACGGTGTTATCGGTACGTATGGTGAAGTATTGCCCGTCGAGGTTCGGGCGCCAGACTTTGAGGGCGTAGACCACGACGAGGAGCTCCTTCTCGTTGGATGGGTAGTTCATTTCTGCGGGAAGGAGTTCCTTGCTGGCGAATGCGATGGGGTGCTCGCCGGGTGGGCATTGGGAGTGAGTGGGGGAGTCCTTGATGGAGGGGGTTTCTGCGGGGTCGGGGGGAAAGTGCTGGGATAAGACGGCCCCGATGGCAAAGTCGGAGGCATCCGTGGTGACGAAGAAGTGGCGAGTGGGGTCGACGATTTTGAGGACGGGGGCAGTGGTGATGAGCTCCTTGAGTTTGTCAAAGGCGGCTTGGCGGCGGTCTGTCCAAGTGAAGGGTTCGGTGGCACGGGTGAGCTCATGGAGAGGGTAGGAAACGTCGGAGAAGTTGCGGATGAAAGGGCGGTAGTAGTTGGCGAGTCCCGTGAAGGAGCGAAGTTGGGTTAAAGTGGTGGGAGGGGGGAACTCGACGAGGGCAGAGACCTTTTTGGGGTCCATGCGAATGCCGTCAGCGGAGACAATTTGACCAAGGTATTCTACGCTAGAGGCAGCAAATGTGCATTTGCTGAGCTTGGCGTGGAATTTCTGGTCGCGGAGGATGGCGAGAACTTGGCGGAGATGATCAAGGTGGGACTCGAAGGTGGGGCTGAAAACGAGGATGTCGTCGAGGTAGATCACGACACAGACTTTGAGGACGTCGCGGAAGATGTGGTTCATGGTGGATTGGAATGTGGCGGGGGCGTTGGTGAGACCGAAAGGCATTCCGAGAAACTCGTAGTGCCCGAAGCGGGAGCGGAAGGCGGTCTTATGGGTGTCCTCCTCGCGGATGCGGATCTGGTGGAAGCCACTGCGGAGATCAATCTTGGTGAAGTATTTGGCTCCACGGAGGCGATCAAGAAGTTCAGATATCCGGGGAAGCGGATACTTGTTCTTGATCGTGATCCGGTTCAGGGCGCGGTAGTCTGTGCACATGCGGAGTTTCTAGGTGTCGTTCTTCTTGACGAATAGACAGCTGGTTCCGAAGGGGGAGGAGCTAGGCTTAATGAATCCTTTTTCAAGGAGTTCATTGAGCTGGCGCTTCATTTCTTCGGCCTCGGGGATGGAGAGCTGGTATGGGGGGTGGCAAGGGGGGGAGTGGCCGGGCTTGAGATCGATGTTGTGGGAAACACATCGGTCGGGAGGTAGTCCGGCGGGCAAGGATTCGGGAAACACGTCTTTGAATTCGGATAGGAGGGTGGAGATCTGAGGGTCGGAGGGGGGTTCTTGGTCGGGTTTATCCGTTGGAAGCAAGCCCTCGGGACGGTAGCGGTCAATGACAAGGCAATAGTAGGCGGAGTCGGGGTGCTCACGGGTCATGTGAAGAAATTGGTGAGGAGAGACRGGGGAAGGGGTGGAGGGAGGGAGAAGGTAGGGGATGTCAAGGGGTGGATCGGGAGGGGTGGAGAGGCGGACGAAAGAGGGGKGGAAGGTATAGGGCATGTAGCGGTCGAGCCAAGGAGTCCCGAGTACGATGTCGCACATGAGGTGCATGACATCGAAGGAGACCTGATTGCGAAGAGGGCCGACGGTCATTGTGGTCTCGAGGACTGTGCGGTCGACGACGATGGCTGAGTCCTTACTCCTAGGCGGATGGTGATCGGGGAATCATAGCTGGTGGAAGGGAGGCCGGCTTTGCGGACACAGGCATCCGTGATGAAGTTGCCGGTGTCACCAATGTCGAGAAGGGTCCGAAACTTCATCGTCGATGCTCCAAAGGAGACGGCGACGAACTTGATCTGGAACTGGGCGGTTCCGGCACAAATGGAGGAGATCATGGCGTTGAGGCGGCGCTGCTCGAGGCCTAATCTAACAAGCCGAGTGTGTCGGTCTTGTTCCTCAACGAGATCGGAGAAAGTGATAGTGGAGGGGTTGGGGAGGAGGGTAGTGGAACATGTGGCCGTGGGGTGCTCAGCCGACGGAATAGAGGACGTCGTCGGGAGGAGGGCAGGCGGAGTAGATTGCGACGCCTGGGGGGTGTCCGATGTGAAAGTCGTCGCTGGGGGAGGGATTGGCAGACGAATTGTTGATGCCAAGACATGGCTACAAGGGGTGGGGGGACAGTGTTTAAGAGGAGGAGGGCCCAGAGGCCGCGGTGGAGGAGGAGGAAGTGGATGTGGGAGGGCTGGATCCGGTGGGGCGGGAAGTCTGGTGGGTGGAGCGGCCGGCCTTGGGGCAATTGGTTTGTTGATGCCCCAGCTGGCGGCAACGGAAACAACCGCCGTTGGCCTGGAGGAAGGCGCGTTCAGTGGGGGTGAGCTTTTTGAGACGAGGGGGTTGGGGGGAGGAGGAAAGTTGGGAGGCCAGGCGTTGCCGTTCCATCCTCATGAGATGGACAGCCTGGAAGTCTTCCTCGGTGAGTTGGGCTGGGTCAAGGGACTCGGGAGAGGAGTCAAAGCCGTCGTCGGAGGGAAGTGATGAGTCGTCGGAGGCCATGTTGTGGAAAAACCAGGTGCGGTTGGGGGCGGCTGGTCGTTGAGAGCGGAGGTGAGGAAGGCGATCATGGTGGAGAAGGCGGGTAAGGAGATCGGTGAGAGGGAGCTCGGGCTCGTCGGCGAGGGCTGCGGCGAGGTGGGGGAAGCATACCCGCTTGATGCGGGAGATGAAGACGTAGTCGGGAATGAGAGTCGACGGGATGTGGAGGCGGAGGGAGCGAATGTATTGGATGAATCGCTCGGTGGGGCCGGTTTGGCGGAGGTTGCAAAATTGATCGATGTAGTCATCGATGGTCTTTTGCGGACGGAAGGTGGCGATGAGAAGGTCGACCCATTGAAGGAAGGTGATGCGGGGAAGGCCATTGGCTCGGCAGTTGTTGGCTTCCGTTAACCACCATTGAGCGGCAGCGCCTTGGAGGCGGGRGGKTGCGGKGGGGAGCCAATGAGCGAGGGGCATGTTGTGGAGGTCGAAAGCATTTTGAATTTGAGAGAGGAAAAGGAGGACGTCCTCGTGGGGGAGGCTGAAGAACGTCGCGATATCAGTGGCGCAGAAGGAGCGGGGAATGTCCCCGTTGCGGGGGACGATGCAAGCGAGGTTGTTGAAGTTGCGGTCGTCAGGAGAGGTGTCGTAGCAGGTGTGATCCCGACTGCGGTCACCAAGGAGGTAGCAAGGAGGATGTTGGGGTATGGCGGGGTAAACGCCCGAAAGGACTTGGGAGTAGGAGGGGTGGACAGAGGGGGCGGTGGAAGTAGTGAGTATAGGTTGGGTAAAGGGGGAGGAGAGGCGCAGGGGAGTGGTTCGTGTGGTGGTGGAAGCGCTTGTAGTAGGTTGTGAGGAGGGGAGGGAAACGGGAAGGGAAGTGACGGGGGTGGAAGAGGGTGTGGTGGAGGACGGTGGGGTGGTGGTGTTGGAGGACAAGGCCTGGCCGGCTTGGCCGGCGGAGAGGCTTTGGCCAGATTGGCCGGAGGAGGGGGGTTGGCGATTTTGGCCGGAAGAAGATGGTTGGCCGGTTTGGCCGGCGGGGGTGGATTGGATGGCTTGGCTGGAGGAGGAGGGGGGTGATGACGTCGTGACGACGGTGATGGCGGGTGTGTGGTTTTCGAGGGAGGTGACGCGATCGGATATGGAGGTCATGGAGGCCTCGATTTTGCGGAGCGAGGCAGAGAGTGCTTGAAACATGGAGAGGAGACATGTGTTCTCCCCGGTGCCTGGCTGGTCGATAAGTTCGCGGTGGATATCCTCGACGGAATCCACGCGGAGCGAGCCCATGTTGATGCTTGAGGTGCCTTCGACCATGGGGAGGGACGAAGGTGGGGCAGAGGGAGAAGATGGAGTGGAGGGGACAACGGAGGTGGCAGCAGCGGCGGCAGCAGCGGCGGCGGCGGCGGGTCGTTGGAAGGTCTTGG